AAGCATGTCCTGGACCCCAAGGGCTCTCTCCAGGATCAACATCCCATGCTGAACATTCGTTGATCGTCTCCCCGGGACCAACTTCCCGTCCTGAACATCATGCAGTTGACGGCCACGGGGACTGGAAACGGCTCCAGGACACCGAACAGCGGAGCAGGGCGAGCACAACAGCAGCTCAAGATCGGCCCCCGGCCCCCTCCCGCGGTCCAAACGCAGGCCCTGCCAATTTTCCGAGCGGCGTCCCTCAAAGGCTAACTACTGTTGCCTCCAATTGCCCTCCTCTGCGAACGCAGATCCGACCTCTCTCGGGCTCCTGCTGTCTTCTGCCGGTACAGCCGGCCCAGAGAGGCCAGCGTGCTTCTTCTGCATGACGACGATGTCGTCGTCCGTGTCCATGCCGTGCAGGAGGCTCGCGAGCTCCGACCCAGCGGCAGCGCCAGCCTGGCGGCAGTGGGCGGAGACGAAGTTCGGGTTGTTGCCGCCCATGTTGTCCTCGGGCCAGACGAACAGGGGGGATATAGTGGAGGGGTAATTCGCGACTCAGCTCACGTAGCCAGATGTTCTGGGCGCCTCCCAGCGCCGGAGGCGCCAAGGTATCGAGGAAGGCGCCCGGCTGTAGGTCCGAGAACCTCTGCCTGCTGCAGATATCGTAACCCCGCTTTCCCCATCCCCCACTTTCGCTCGACCAGGTCCTCGTCGTCGTCCGATGTCCCGCTCATGCCGTAGCACTTGCGCTCGGGCCTGTAGTAGACCACCTGGGCGGCAAACAGAGGGAGGGCTGATTCTCAAAGCCGGGCCCTCGGCTGAAGACACCACGTGTATGCCTCAAAAGTGATCCGCGTGACAGCGTCCCGAGGACACGCGGCTCAGAGAGTTCCTCTGGCGTGGCCTGCGCGCCGATCCTGCACACCAGTGCAGAGCAAGAGAGCCCGGCGGTCTGCCGCGAGCGTCGGCAGGGGACGACGAGGAGGCCCCCGCGGACGTGCGGCGGAGGCTCCGCGCGGACCACGTGGCGCGGCGGGCCGTGCGGAGAGGAAGGTGCGGCGGAGCGCCTCCGCGCGGGCGGTGCTATCGCGGGCCGCGCGCGGCGGGCCAACCGCGGCCGCACTCGAGGGGCCCAGCGGGGTCGCCTGCCTCCGGTGCGGCTGCCGGGCGGGGCGCGCCCGGCCTGGCCGGCCGTGCGCCGAGGGGTCGCCCGCGCTGCCTGCTGGTGGTCGCACCGCCTCGGGATCCCGGGGTGCCGAGGCCGGGCGGCAGTGGGAAGCTGGGCGAGGGCTGGCCGTGGCTGCTCGAACGGCCTTCCCGGAAGGAAAAAGCACACTCCCGGAATCAGACTCAGCACACGAAAGATAGTAAACGGGATGGCCTCCCGGAAGAGAGAAAACAATTTCCCGGAGCTCCACTGCAGCAGCCACGGGTTTGCCAGCCTTCGCCTAGCTGTCATCGGAGGCAGGCGGCTCTGCGGGTCCGCCTGGCGCTGCAGGCCCTGGCGTGCCCGACCAGCGCTCGTGGCGCGGCAGTGGTGGTAGCGCTGCGCAGGGCGGCGGCCAGGCTGCGCGCCGCTGGCCGCTCCAGTCGCCCGCATTCGCGCTCCCTCCCGCTCCCTCTCGTCGTCCCCGTCGTCTTCGCTGGCCGTTTCGTCGTCTCGCCCCTGAGCTCATCCTTGATCGGAGACGGACTGTGGAGGGGATCGCGACGTCTTTTTGTGTGTGGGGGAGGGGACCAACGAGCTCAAACCACCAGAAGACCAGTCGAATAGAGGCTCTGACGGTGAGGAGTTCCTCTAGACAGAGTGCCCTCCCAAGGCCAGAGAGCATACATCCATGCCCGAGCGCAGATAGCAACAGGAGAAGGAAGTATAAGAATATGTACGGTTCACACAACACGTGCGGGCAACTTGCGCAAGAGTGCCCGCGCCAATCGATCCCTTTTTCGTATCGCCACCCGCCTGCTTGCACTTCTCCTCGGCCGCGCACCAGTCGCGGCACGTGGGCCAGTCCTCGGCGACGTCGCCGTACTTGTGCTTCCCCAGTGATATCTCATCGCCAGCCTCGCTCTTGCGCCAGTTGTTGAACTCCGCGCATGCGTCGTTGCACTGCGCCGAGATGAAGTCGACGTTGGAGCCACCCATGTTGTCCTGGTCGTGGCCCTGGGCCTCGGTGGTGCCGAAGCAGGCGCCGGAGGGCTTGTAGAAGACAACCTCTGAGAGCGCACATGTTGCAAAGATACCGGCCTTTTCAAAGCATCAGTTCTGAGGTGCATGTTGCAGAAACACCAGCTGATGTGACAACTGCTGCGCACATAATGCACTAGCTTCTGTTTTGATTGCCCCAAGGGGGGGAGCGGACAACGGTAACGCTTGGGCGGGGTGGGGCACGTCGGAGCAGGGGCGCGCCGCGGTCGCCAAAATATACGCGCGAACACCAGCTTTGGGCGGGGTGGTTCAAGTCTCCCCCACCCCTCCTACGTACGATCGCTGCCGTTACTCAGGTATCGACAGTCACGCGCCAGAGGACTGGCGAAAAGCAAGATCTGGGTGGGGATGACGCCCGCGAGAGCCCTCGCACCCCTTCCCTGAGCTCCTTGATTCTTATGTTTTTTGTTTTATATATATATATAGCACTGTACATGTATATATATATATATATATGTATAGAGAGATGTATCGATATATGTATATACATATACATGCACATGTGTTGCTCTCTATATCTGTCTCTGTCTGTCACCCTTCGTATGTTTACTGTTTGTTCGTTTCTCTCACGATCTCTGTGTTCACGCACGGACTCATGATTTATTGACGATGCTGGCACCGCTTGCAATCAACGCTACTCATCATCATCCCCTTCCACCGTGCTCACGAACGTATCCTCATTTCCTTCCCTTGTGCATATCTCTGTCCCACAAAATGCCTGAACAAAACTAAGCTCAATGCCAAAACACATTCCCAACACCGACCCGTAGTCGCCGTCATGGGGGGATGAATGTCGAGACGCGCAAAGAGAATTACACCAGAGAGAAGCCCAATCAGTGGATGGTTTCAAAATTCGTGATATTGATATTGGGATCGGTTGTGAAGATCGATCGTGAGACCGATAGTGGGATCGATAGTAAGGACGGTAGTAAGGTCGATCGTGAGACCGATCGTGGAGTCGATTCTGTGAGACCGATCGTGCGATCTATAGTGGGATCGATTGTGAGATTCATAGAGAAGTGGGTAGTGAGATCGATGGTGAGACATGTCGAAAAAGATATCGACCAAGAACCCGGGAGCCCAAACACCCGGGAACCCCGCCGCCCACCGAAATCGGTCGGGAACCAGCAACCGGGAACCCGGGAACCCGGAACCTGGAACCCAGGAACCCGGCTGCCTACCGAAACCGGCCCGTTACTTTCGCCAATCTTTCAATCTCCGCTTAGAGCCCTTCAGTGCGAGCACACACACATATATATATGTATATATGTATATATATATATGTATACATATATATATATATATATATATATATTGGGGACCAACGAGAACACGCGTCCCCTGGCAGCGTCCCCTCGCAAGCCCAGCAAAACGCGTCCAGGCAGGGCTCGCGGCACATGCCCAGGCACAGCCCCGGACACGTCCCATGGCACAATCCCCCAGCGCGTTCGCAAGCCCGCCCTACTGCGCGTCCGAGAACACGTTGCTAGACATAATTACCCCTCCGGACAACATCCCCAAACTCAACACCTGGCACGCCCCTCGACACGGTCCCTCGCACAGCCCCTGTCAAGCCGCTGAACATGTCCCTCGACGCGTCCCCTGGCGCGTCTCCTGACTCGTCCCCTGGCAAGCCCCGCAACACAGACGAAGGCACGTCTCCAGACAGGTCAACTGATACGCCCCCTGGCACGTCCCCTGACACGTCCCCAGTTGTGTCCACAGGCGCATCCTCTGGACACGCCCGCCGGCATACTGTCTCGCACGCCGCTGGGCCCTGGGCCCCAAGCCACGCGCTTGGATACGTCCTCCTCTGCCACGACTCCTGGCACGCTCAAACGAGATCCCATGGCACGCCCTCCGACGCAGCCGTGGGCACATCCCCTGACACTTCCTTGACGCGCCCCCTGCCACATCCCCCCGAAACATCCGCAAACGCGGCGACGCCCTCTCAGACACGCCGTGCGACACCCGGGGCCGTACCTGTGGTGCCTGGGTGACGTGCCTGGGGACACGTCAGGGGATTTTTGTTGCGGAACGGGTCAGCCGGCGTGTCAAGGCCCGTCTGGCGCCGTGCCTGGGGTCGTGCCTGGTGCCGTGTCAGGCGACGCGTCTGGGAACCAGCCCGTGGACAATCTAGAGGACGCACCCGAGGAAGGGCCAACACTGCCACGGGACGTCCCCCCGGGCCGCGTCTGGAACCACTCCTGCGGCTGTGTCGAGGGGCGTGTCGGGAGACGTGCCTGCGACTGTCTCAGGGGGGCATGCCGCGGGACGTACCTCAAAACGTGTCAGGGGGCGCGTCGGAGGCCGCACCAGGGGACGTGAGGGACCTTAGGACGCGCCAAGGGGCACATCTGGGACGCACCGCCGCCCTCGGCGCAGTCCTGAAGCGTGCACGCTCGAAGTCCACGTGGGACCGTACGGGGACTCGCTCTTGTGCGGACCTCGTCCGCACCATCCTCGCGCGGGCACGCACAACATAGGTCTGGGTGTCCCGGCCAGGCAAGCGCGGCACGTCCGGGTCAAACCCGCAGAGTAACCTGGTGATCAAAAAGGCAACGACACTGCAGTGCTGACTTTCGGCCCCGCATGCTCCCTGTTGCGTCATACCGTATCGTGGCCACTCGTACTGACTGCCGATGTGGATGTGCAAGCCAGCGTAGACCCCAACCACTAAGTTATGTGGTGCAAGCGATGAGGTGCAAGCTATGTGGTGCAAGCTATTTGGTGTAAGCCACGTGGTGCAAGCTATTCAAAGTAATGTTTACACAGGAACTGCCGACATACATTGTGCAGCATTTGCTGCACCTCATAGTCCGAATCAATGTTAGTTACTGCATGATATAGGTTGCACAGCGTAGGTTGCACAGCATCGGTTGCACCACATCGGTTTCACAACATGTGCCCTGCTAGAAACACACTGTTTGGTGCCCACACTGGCAGACATTACTCAGGAAGAAGGCTGATCAGAAGGAACAAAAGCCCCCAATTCATTCAAGCACTGCAGGGAAGAAATAAAGCGTGCCGAACCTGCTTGCACTTCTCGTCCTCCACACAGAGGCGGCGGCAATGCTCCCACGACGTCTTCACGCCGTAGCCCGCCTTGCCGAGACTCATCTGAACAGCCCTGCCGCCAACCACCGCCTTCCTCCAGTTGTCGAACTCCACGCACTGCCCCCCCTCTACAACGCTGCCGCGATCAAGGTCCGTGGCGACACCTTCTCGGCTGCACGCAAGGAGTGCCCCGACGCAGTAGAGACTTTTGGTGCGAGCCTTTGGGGGGGCCGCGGGGACGGGACGGGGTGAGGCAAACCCGAACGCGCCAGCCAGGTATGGGGGGGGGACCCCTCCGCGAACACTGTGGGGCCGCACTGCGGGTCACTCCTGCGGAGGGCCACTCTTGCGCGCAGGCGACCCTCGTCGTCGGAGTCCCAGCCCAGCGAGCCGATGGTCTGCATGGTCGAGGACGGTGGGCTCTCGGAGCCTGGCGGCTCCATCGCCGGCGGCTGCGCCGGCGTCGAGGCGGTGGTGCTGTCGCTCGCCTCCCAGTTCCAGGCGCCGACGTCGCTGGCGGGCTTCTGCTCGGTGGGCCTGCTCGAGGGGACGGGCGAGTCCTCGTCGGAGATGTCGGCGATGGAGAAGTCGAAGAATCGCACCGACTCCGCACACTTCTTCTTGTCGTCCCGGGGGCACAGGCCCGCATGGTCGTCACCGGGGCCGTCCAGCCACAGCATGTCGTCGTCGGCCCAGTAGCTGACGATCGGCGTCATGCCCCGCTTCAGCTCCGTGGTCATCTCCTGCATGCGGTCGTAGCTGTCCAGGTTCAGCGAGATCCTGCACGGACTGGCCCCCTTGTCCTGCGACAGAGAGACCCACATTGCCTTGAGGGGGGCCCTGTGCCCAGATCCTCCCTGGACGTCGTCATCGTCCTCCTCCTCGTGTTCCTTCACCTGGTCTCCTGGTCCACCCCCCCGAAACAGCATCTCCTAAGCACCCGTCCTCTGGCCCTGCCCGTGTTCCGAGCCGCGCCCGGCCATGGTGACAGCTGGGGGCACTTAAGACGGCCAGACAGCGAGGGAAACGAGGAGCGGCCGCCTCGAGAGATCCGGTGCTCTCGTCCGTGGGGAATGACACGGCCACCTCGTACGGAAAATTCGTGTCGATGCACTTGGAGTCAGGGCCGTAGTCGTCCTTCCCCCAGTCGCGGGGCCCGTTCCATCCCGGGCCGCCACCGCCCTCACCCGCGGCAACGCCGAACGCATCCTTTGCTCCGTGCAGCGTCGCGTGGAAGGCATACATGTTGGCCTCTGGGCGGCGCGCCGGGGCCCGTCACCCATCGAGCCGTCGGCAACATCGACCACGGTGGAAAGTGTCTCCCCAGCGTCTGCCTTCGGGAAGGGGGGCCCTTCGCGGGCCCCCTGGACCTTGGACGAAGGCTTCGAGAAATCTGTGCCCAGGAAGGGGTCGAGAGCCCCGGGGGCTCCGCGTTGCGAAACGACCGTGGTGCCTGGGGGCCTGGGAGGGGGGGGCCAGGGTGGGGTGATCAGGAGTTGGCCAGCCTGAACAGGCCGGGCGTGGGCATCTGGGGAAGCAGTGGGGAATCCGGAGATTCGTTGATCTGATTTGTACAGTCCGCGGCCCCCAGGAAGCCGTGAGTCCTTCTCTAAAGAAAGCTTTGCCTTCGGGATACACTTGGATGGACCCAGGTCCCAGGAAGCGAGCCCCGCGGATGCCGAAATCAATGGCAACTGCTCCTGGCGACGGGCCCCTCGATGTCATCTGCGTGCGTGAGTACCGCAGGGCGGGCGGGACGGCGGAAGGTGAATTCCCCATGGGGCCGAGGGGCGCGTGAAGGGTGTGTCGATTTGTTTTGTTTTTTTGTTTTTTGGGAGTGCCGCCATGCGGGTGCTGGCACGTGCGCCGTTGGTGGAGCTCCATGTGGAATAGGGGCCCACGCAGCGCGCGAAGGGTGTGCCAATGTCGTGCGGCGGCGCCACGTGAACCTTGCCACTGGGCCACGAAACAAGTGAGGGGTGTGCCGAAGTGGAGGCGGCTTCGCCGTGCGAATCCTGCCACTGGGGTCTTCGGGGCAGATCGCTCCCGTGGGGTCGCGAAACGATTGAGGGGTGTGCCGAAATGAAGGCAGAGTCGCCAGGCGAATCCTGCCCCTGGGGCCTTGCCTTCGGTGGATCTTCTCGTGGGTCCACGAAACGTGTGAGGGGGTGAGCCGAAATTGAAGCGGGGCCACCATGCGAACACTGGCATTTGGGCCTGAATTGGAGTTTCCGACGCGGCCACGGAACGTGTGAGAGGTGTGCCGACATGGGGTGGGGCCGCCATGCGAGCTCTGGAATTTAGTCCTTACTTAGAATACTCTATGAGTCTACGAAGCGTTTGCGGGATGTGCCGAAATTAACCGGGGTGGCCATGCGAACATTAGCATGTGACCTTGCTGTGGGTCACGAAACGTGTGAGGGGCGTAGGGCTCCCCATTGGGCCACAAAGCGTGTGAGCGGTGTGCCGAAAGGAGGCGGGGCCGCCATGCGAGCCTAGCAATTGGGCTTGAATCGGAGCTCCGAGAGAAAGCGCCAAAGGAGACAGCGCCAGGGAGGGGGGGGCCCTCCCCCGTCTATGAGAAACGCGCACGGGTCTTACTTCATCGTGTAAGCATTTTACGTGGCACGCATACGGTCACAATGTTACTGGTATACACACCCATGCGTATCGTAGACGATCCCTGTGTGGATCGCATACGATTGCTTCATGACGGGTATACTTTTCCGATGTGAAGCGTGCAAAGTTCCGATCTGGGTCGCATACGAATCCTATGTGAATCCGCCAGGGCTTCGATGTGACTCGTGCACAGTTCCCACGCGAATCGTATACGAATCCGATGCGAATTGTATGCCATTCCTACCGATGTGGCTCGTCTATGACTCCTGTGTTGGTCGCGTGCGTTTCCTGTGCGGATCGTATACGGCTCCTATGCGAAAACGCACGATGCCCATGGCAGACGTATGCGACCCCTATGTGAACCGTAAACGAAACCTGCGTCCGCCGTATATGGTTCCAATGTGAATCGGGCACGACTCCCATGTGAAACGCACACGCATGTTATGTGACCAGTGTGAATAGTATACGGTTCGCCTGTAGAGCGTAGATGGTTCCAACTTGAAGCGTCTACGTCTGCAGGTCCATGTGAGCCGTGTACAGGTCCTACGTGGATCGTATACGTTTCTTGCGTGATCGCATTCGCTCGCCATGGTTATCACCCACGAATCCGCACGAATCGAATCGTATACGGTTCCTATGTAGGCCGTGTGCGGCTCTTATGTGAATCGCTTACGCTTCCTATGCGAATCGTACACGGCTCCGATGTGAACCGCATGTAAGTCTGCTGTAACTGCATACGGAACTTATGCGACCTGTATACGATTCCTATGTGGCTCGTCGGCGATTTCGATTTAAAGCGCGTGCAAGCCCTACGTGGCTCGCAAGCAAGTCCTAAGGGAACCGTGAATGATCCGAAAGGAACCCGAAGGAACCTCACATATCCCCAAGGAGTCCGAAGGAACCCGACGCAATCCTGAGGAACCCGCAGGCTTTCTAAAGAACCTCTAAGGATCCTCAGACATCGGAACATCGCCGAATTGGAATCCTGAGAACTTCATCAGGAGCCCTGACAACTGCTGAAACGGAAACAAAGGAACCGTGAAATCATCCTAGAAATAACCGAAGGAACTAAACTCTAAGACACCCTCAGGAACTCTAATAAAAGGATCCGTGGGCCCGCTGAGGTTCCCAGAGACCGAACAAGCGGCGAGAAACCTCCAGGACCTGTTTCCATCAGGACTCCTTTCCTTCATGAGCCAAATGGAAATTTGACATGCAGAGCGAAGGGGCTTTGACGGCCGCGGCGAACCTCGGCCACAACAGGGCCTCCAGACTCTGACCCCAGGAGCGGTCCGGGGATCGCCGCCCCTCCCGAGCCAATGGTGTTCCTCCGCCTCTTTCTCTGCGTTCTCCTCCACCCCCTTCTCGTCCTCCCCCTCCTCCTCCTCCTCCTCCTCCTCCTCCTCCTCCTCCTCCTCCTCCTCCTCCTCCTCCTCCCCTGTCCCCCCCCCACCAGGCACGCCGTCCTGCCTGCGGGCCGTCGGTGACCCCCGCGACGACGAGGACGAGGATGGGAGAGAGGAAAAGGACGAGGAATGAGTGAGGAGGAAGGAGGAACACGAGGAGCGTTTGGTGTTTGGTGTTTGGAGTTTGGGGTTTTGTGTTTGGGGTTTCGTGTTTGGTGTTTGGTGTCTGGGGTGTGGTGTTTCATGTTTGGCGTTTGGCGTTTGTTGTTTGGTGCTTGGCGTTTGGGGCTTGGGGTTTGGTGTTTGGGGTTTGGTGTTTGGTGTGTTGTGTGTTGGGTTTTGGTGTTTTTGGTGTTTGGGATTTGTGTTTGGTGTTTGGTATTATGGTGTTTGGGATTGGTGTTGGGTGTTTGGTGGTTCGGCTTTGGAGTTTGTGGTTTGTGGTTCGGTCTTTGGGGCTTGGTGTGTGGGATTTGTTGTTTGGTGTTGGGGTCTGTTGTTTGGTGTTTGGGGGCTGGGGTTTGGGGGCTGGGGATTGGGGTCTGGTGTTTCGGGGGTCGGGTCGTTGTTTGGGGTTGGGTGATTGCTGGTGTTTGGTGTTTTTTTGCGTGTGTGGTGTGTGTGTGTGTGTGTGAATGCGTGTGGTCTTTGGGGGGTGTTGAAGGCTCCATCCAGCCGGGGCATATGGCCCAACGCTGCCGGGGTATGGCCCGTCCAACCGGGGCATCGAATTCGGCCCCCCCTGGCCCCCACACCAGGCGCCTTCACGCCTCCCCCCCCTTTCCCCCGCGGCCCTTGGAAGCTACCCCCCCCCCTCCTTTTGACCTCTCCGACCAGGGCCCCCCGCCCCTTCCCCTCTTCTCGGCCTCTGGACGCTGCCCCCCCTCCCTTGCTGACCTTCCCGCCCAGGACCCCCCCCCCTCCCCTGCCTCTACTTTCGGCCTCAGGAAGCCACCCCCTCCTCTCACCCCATGCCCCCCCTCCGTTTGGCGTCCCTGCTGGAAGCCCCTCCCCCTTTCTCCCTCCCCTCCCCCCTTGCCCCATGCAGCCCCTGCAAGCTACACCCCCTCCATTTCATCTCCCCAATCAGAAGACCCCCTCACCCCTCGCGTTCCCCACCGAAGCTCCCCTCCCTCCACTCGGACCCCCTCTGCCCAGAGCAATTCCATCCCATTGTATCCTACTCGTCGCAAGATAATGCTTGGGCGGAAGGCGGAGTACAATGCCCTCCTAATATCCGAATCACGTGGCAACGCTTGCAGCCAGAAGGCGTACTACTCTATCGTATTCGTCACACGGCAGCGCCGACGGGATCGAGAACAATACTATCCCATGGACGTCCCCACGTGGCAGCTCTGAAGCGGAAGCCATGCTTTTCTACTTTACCCGTCGCGTGGCATGGCAGGGGGGTGGGAACACATCGTATTCTGCTCTACCCATCACATGGCCACACAAGAGCCGGGCGGCCCGCCAGAAGACTTCGGAATCCGTGAACTCCTTTTGCTCCAGCAAAAACGTGCCGCTTCGCAACATCCAGGGGATCGTTGACACAAGGTTGTGCCCTATGTTACTCTACTCGTGACGGAGCACCGCACGTGGGGGCGCAAACTAATTCGATCTTGCTCTACACGTCACGTGGGAACGCTTTGGGGGGGGGACCGAACGCACAATATCATACTTGACTCGCTGCGTGGCAGCGCAAGGTGACGGCACACGTGCACGCGCATGTTCGTCAAATGGCAACGCAGGGAGGCGAAACCAACTCGTACTTTGTTCTGCCCATGAAGTGGTAACGCCACGGGGTAAGCAAGAAAGACGATTCTAGTCGACTCGGCTATTCGACACGTGGCAACGCAGGTAGCGGGAACAATCACTTCGGTCTACTCGTCGCGTGGCAACGCACCGATGGCGACGCACATCAGATTCGCGTGCACCCCGCAAGGGCAACAAACAAGGCATAGTCCGACTACGATAACGACGACGACGACGGCGACGGCGACGGCACCGGCGACGGAGAGGGTGAGGGAGACAACGACGACAACGACGAAAACGACAGAACAGACGACGAGAACAATGACGACAACGCCACCGCCGACGACGACCAGCACCAACCACCGCCATCACGCCCGCACGCCAGCCCGCGTGAACGCACGCACGCCCGCCAGCCCGCCGCCCGCCCCCCCGCGCTCACACCCGCCCGCCCGCTCGCCCTCTCGCCCGCCCATCCGCCCGCCTGCCTGCCTGCCTCGTGCGCTCAGGCGCACGCCCACCCGCTTACTTTCGTCAGATGGCAACGCTGGGAGGCGAAACGAAAACCGTGTTTTGCTCTACCCGTGATGTGACAACGCCTTGGGGGCGAACAACAAGACATGCCACTGTACCTTCTCGCCATGTGGCAACGCAGGGAGCGGAACCATTTTGTTCTACTCGACACGTGGCGTCCCTGGGCTCACGTGGCAACGCACGTAGAGGCAAAACCAATCAGATTCGTCTGTATTCCACAAGGGCGACAACGAGGAAATGGCACGGTAACGACACCGACGCCGACGCCAACGCCGACGCTTACGACGGCCACGGCGACGACAACGACGGCGACAACGAGGGGGACGGCCCGACGACGCGACCGACGCCGACCAGGACGACGCCGACGACGACGACGACGACGACGACGACGACGACGACGACGACGACGACGACGACGCCGACCAGCACCAACCGCCGTCCGCACGCTGGCACAGCAACTCAACCCGCCCGCCCGTCCGCGCTCCCGCCCGCCTGCTCGCCCGCTCGCCCGCGCCCACCCGCCCTCCTGCCCGCCAGCCTCCGCGCGTCCGCGTGCCCGCCCGCCCGCGCGCGTCCGCGCGCCCGCCCGCCCCTGCACGCGCGCGCGACCGCGCGCCCTGCCCGCGCGCGACCGCCCGCCGCCCGACTGCCCGCGCCGCCCGCACTTCCATTCCCGCTCGCCCGTGCACCCGCCCCGCTCGCCTGCCCGAGGCCCCCCAAGGAAGCCATCGGGGACCCGGCGGGACACGCCTGACATCCGTCGAGGGCCCCCGGTGGCGGACCATGCGTGCACAGCCCTCCAGTGCCCGTCACGCGGCGGCGTCTCGGGGCCGGAAGGAGATCCTGCCACCTCCGCCACGCGGCGAGGCACAGGACCGAACACGCCACGTGGCAACGCGAGCGGGGCGGAAACAAAGAGCATTCACGTCTACCCGTCGCATGGTAACGTGGAGGGGAGGGGATAGGAAGCAACTGATATTCTTCTCCGCTCACCGACGACGGCAATGACGAGCTACCCCCCTCCACATGGACCTCCCCAGCCCGAAGCTCACCCCCCTGCCCACTCCGCCCCTCCATCTCTGGACTCCGCCCCTCCATCGCTGGGCTTGCCAATCCACATCCTCAATAATCCTACGGGGTTCTGAGGAACCCGCCCGAATATGTATGAAATCCTTCGGATGTCCACGCTACATCCTCGATTGTACTCGTCGCGTTGCACTGCGGAGGGCAGAAACATAGAAAAAGGCTGCTCTGCTGAACACATGTCAGCCCTGGGAGGGCGAACGACTAACTCTGCTCGCCACGTCGCAACGCAGGGGGGGGCGGAAACCATACTATTCTCCGCTACTCGTGAAGTGGAAAAGCTGAGAGCGGAAACATCTAGTACGTATGTACTAATATGCTCAATCGTGGAGTCGACGCACGACGACGGCATCAACGACGATGCCGACGATGATAACGGCAGTGGCGACAACGAGGGCGGCAACGACGACGACGACAACGATGACGACGACGAGAAGCACAACGACGACGACGACGAACGACAACGACGACGACGACCACGACAACGACGAAGAGAACGATGACAACGACAGCGAGATTTTGAGCAGATCCATAAAAAATCGGGGGGGGGGGTGTAGCTTCCGAAGACGCCCATCCATGCAAAGGTGAGCCTGGGCTTTACCTACAGCCCCGAGAAGGGGGAAGCGGGGTAGCTTCGGAAGCCACCCCCCTTGACCAGCGACCCCCTGCTTCGCAAAGGAAGGGGAGAGGGGGGCAACCTTCTGGAGCCCCCCCTCCCTTCGAAAGGGGAGCCCGGGGGGGAAGCCTGGGCTCACCCTAGAAGCCTCAAGGGGAAGGGGGGGTCCAGCTTCGAACCCCCCCCCCTTCCTTACAGCGAGGGGGGCAGGGGGGGGCAGCTTCCGACTCCCCACCCAGCAAAGGTCAACCTGGGCTTACCCCGGCGTCGACAAGGGTGGGTGGGGAGGGGGCTTCAGAAGCCGCCCGTTTCCCCTTTCAAATGGGGACCCTAGCTTCCCAAAGCACCCCAACCCTTTGGGAAGGATTGGGGGGGGTAGCTTTAAGCTGGGCCCCCCCTTTTGGTCTTCCCGTCTCCCGCAGCGCTCTCTTTCTGAGTTCCCTATGGGGCCACGACATGTGTGAGGGGTGTGCCGAAATGAGGCGGGCCGCCAAGCGAACCCTGGCCTGTGGGCCGTACGTCGGGACATGTGAAGAACATCCCCCAAGAACACGAGACCCTCCCTCCGCTGGACGAGCTGAAGAACATTCGAGGGTACCCTCCTCCAGGATGCACAAAAACATCCAACAAACACAAATAATAGTAGGGTACCCTCCCCGAACAAACCTCGATCTTATACCTCTGTCCGACCGTAAATGGAGCTCCTTGTGGGGCCACAAAGCGCGCGGAAATGGGCATGCAGGACGAGGCGGCCCAAGACGTGGAACGGCACAACGGAGGAGGGGGCAGCTGGAGAAGGGAGTGAGACCTGGGGCCCTATATACTATCTCCTCAAAGCAAACAACACTACAGGATGGTTGGGAACGATCGGATATGTCGCCAAGGCGTTGGTTCTCGACGTGCCAAAGTGGACGACGCCAACACCACCGCAAACCCACGGCAAGCCCTGCGTCCCGGGCCGAAGGAAACACAGCCGGCGCCGCGGCAAACCCAACGGCGTGGCGTTTGCCCTGGTGCACAGCGCCCTCCCCAAGGCGGAAGGCCGCGCGTCGGACCAAACGGCGCGGCAACAGATGCGGAGATCGACGCAGATCTGGGGGCCTCGAACGGGGCCCCCTCGAAGGAAAATATGAAGGGGCCCTGGGACACACAAATAAATACACACAAATAACAGGATTCTCAATATTTTCCTATATTTTCTGGGCTTGTGTGTTCTTCCCAATTCCCATATTTTTCTATATTTTCTGGGGGATCGACAATTAATAATTGTGTCTGTGTGCTTTTTCCGCTCCTGAAAATAGACAGGGCTTCCGAAGGAAGCTGTACCCCCCCCGCCACCCCCCCGTGCACTCTCAGGAGGCCCTCGCCCGCGCGTCCTCCCTGGCCCCCGCCTATATCCCCCCCGACCAGCGGCCTCCTGGATGTCGATCTCGGCGCAGGTCTGCCCGCACACGTTGTTGGCGTCGCAATAGTAGTCAAAGCACTCGGACTCGTGCTCGTTGTGGCCCATCGAGGTGAGGTAGAACGCCGCGTTGCAGCCGCAGCCGGCACCCTTGACGTCCATCTTGTACCGCAGCGTCTTGCCCAGCAGCGGCATCCTAACAGGAGCAAAGACCACCGGCCAGCACAACCCCCTCCATCGCGAGTAGCCATGGGCCATCGGGCTTCCTCCAGGTGGTGTGGTCCCACTGCTCCGCGGCGTCCCGCTCGAGACGTCTCCAATCTCCAGCTCGGCGAGGCATCGTGGACGTCCTCGCTGGAGGTGGCCCGCTGGTGGTGGTGGCGTCAGTTCTCCTCCGTCCGATCCTGACGTACTCGGTGTTGTTGTACTTCCCCGCGTTGCAGGTGCTGGCAAAGTAGGACCTGCTGCTCATTTGCGGCACGATCTCGGAGCCGTGCCGCACCTCTACCTCGGGGAGGGAGGGGGGCGGTCACGCCGGCAGGGCGACCGGGGAGGGCACAGAGAGAGGACCAGGACTCCGACGATCGAGTGTCGGAAGCAACGCCACCCAGATGTCGAGACAATGAACAGACGTCGCGCGAACTGCGAGCCCCATGGGGTATCCAAAGGTCCTCAGAAATCTCCGCGGGGCTCTGGAGGCCGAAAGAGGGCTCAACAGCAATATCAAAATATCGATCCTGCTCCCGGCGCCTGCCTTCCCTCGCTCGCACGAGTGCTGTCGAGCGCTGACCCTCCTGAGGTGCTCCAGGGCTTGTTTTGGGCCCCCAGGGGCCATCCCGGGAGTCAGAAACCAGCGTGGTGCACCTGCTGGAAGGACGGTCTCATACCTTACGTGGTGCACCTGCTGAAGGACGAGCAGCGTCAGGCGGAGGAAGAAGCAGCGAACACCCGCTGGGCATTCTGGCTACCGCCGCTTTGACGGCACTTCACTGCTGAGGCACGGACGAAGAGCGCCCGTGTTTGAATCGGAGGCCACTTCCTTAGCCATGCGGTTCACATAGGAACTGCAACCAAACGGTGGATCTTGTACCGGAAGGCTGACCCGAGACGGATGAGAGGACACGGATGGGCGACAGCTCCAGGACCCACAGACGAGGTGCACGAAGCGGGAGGAGCAATAGTAGGTGGAGAAGGAGGAGGAGGAAGAGGAGGAGGAGGAGGAGGAAAAGGGGGAGGAAGGGGCGGAGGAGGAGGAAGAGGAGGAGGAGGAGGAGGAGGAGGAGGGGGAGGAAGGGGCGGAGGAGGAGGAGGAGGAGCCTCCACTGCCCCGAAGGGGTCCATCCAGCCGGTCGGCACTATCGACACGGCTCCCTTGGGGGCGCCCTCGAAGCCGGCGATCCTGAGCTGGTCGGGGCACGTCGCCTTGGGCGGCGCCTGCTGTGGGAGGCCCGTTGCCGTCGTCGTCGTTGCCGCTGCCGCCGCCGCCTCCGTCGGCCACGTCGTCGCTCTGGAGCGCTGGGCGCCATACCCAGGGAGCGGCTCCCTTCCCTGCAGCGGTCGTCGTTTTCTCGTGGTCCCCACAGGCGTTGGTCTGGGCGCCCGAAGTGGGCACGAACAAAAAACAGGTACCATGCCCAGCAACAAACGCTGTCCAAAACCGACAGCGGCCGTTGTTGGGCAGGCGACCTCTTGCCTCAAATGGATCACGTCCGCGGCGCCACCGACAGCGAACCCATATCATATCAATATGGAAAGCCGTCACCATTCTTGTGGCACTGCCGGACCTAGGACATGTGAACACTCTTCCAAAACAAGATACCCTCCACCAGCCAAACGGAAGAACATTCGAGGGTGCCCTCCCCCAGGATGCACAAGAACATCCAACAAACACAAAAAGAACATTAGGGCACCCTCCTCAGACCTACTTCGATCATGTACCTCGGACCGACCGTAGTTGGAGCTCCCTGTGGGGCGACGAAGCGTGCGGAAATGAGTATGCAGGACGAGGCGGGCCAAGGCGAGGAACGGCACAACGGGGGAGGGGGCAGCTGGAGGCGTGAGTGAGACGCTGGGCCCTATCGCCTCAAAGCAAGAGTTCCAACACTACAGGATGGTTTTGTTCTCGACGCGCCCAAATGGACGTCGTCGTCAACACCACGGCAAACCCACGGCAAGCCCTGCGTCCCGGGCCGAAGGAGACACGGCCGGCGCCGCGGCAAACCAAACGGCGAGCCCACCGCGTCCGAGGCGGCGTTTGCCCTGGTGCCCGCGGCGCCCTCCCCAAGGCGAGTCGGAACAAACGGCCCGGAGTCGGATGCAGAAATCATATCGACGGAGATCTGGGGACCTTAAACGGGTGCCTCTCAAAAGAAAACGGGCAAGCCCTCCAACAGAAGCAGCCCCTCCGTGCACGCTCGGGAAGGCCGTCGCCCGCACCTCCCTCGATCTCGATCCCCGAGGCGGGGCCCCGTCTCGTCGCTTCCGACCCTCCAAGGCCAGGGGGCTGCGACGCCCCCCCCCCCGGGAGAAGGCCGTCGCCCGCGCCTCCCTCGAGCTCGATCCCCGAGGCGGGGCCCCGTCTCGTCGCTTCCGATCATCCAAGGCCAGGGGGGCTGCGACGCCCCCCCCCCCCCCCCCCCCCGGGAGAAGGCCGTCGCCCGCACCTCCCTCGATCTCGATCCCCGAGGCGGGGCCCCGTCTCGTCGCTTCCGACCCTCCAAGGCCAGGGGGCTGCGACGCCCCCCCCCCCCCCCCCCCCGGAGAGGGCCCGCCCCGCGCCCCCGCGCGTCACTCGGGCGGGGCCCGCGAGCGGCCCCGGGAGGCGGAGGGCGGCGGAAGAC